TTGAATGAATATTAATTGAAAGCTATTTAATTATGTTTATTATCAGAAGATTTTGCTTTAATTTAAGGAGATTATGGAAAAAGAAGAATGTTAAGCCATTTATTATATTTATTAGGATACACAAATAAAAAAGTATTATTTTGTGCTGCTGATAATGAAGTTTTGGATGAATAAATAAATGATTTTATTGAAACTTTTCCAAATTAATCTGATTGGATTTTAAGATTATCAAATGAAAATGAAAAAGATAAAATAAAAGAAATTCATAAAAAATATTCTTTTGATTTTAAACATTATAAAGATTTATCAGAAATAGATAAAAAATTAGAAAATAAACATTTTTATTTTTCAACTTGTTTAAATTGTACTGATATTTTATAATCAGAACCATTTGATTATTGTATTGTAGATTAATCAACTAAAATTATTGAACCATTATGTATTTCTTGTATTCTTAAAAGCAAAGTATTTATATTATTAGATGATTCAGAAATGCAATAACCATAAATTAAATCATAAAAAGCTAAATTATTAAAAATTAGTTTATTTTAAAGATTATCAGAATAATTTAAAAATCTGGACTGCTTATAGGAATTATAATTTTCATTTGAAGACATAGAAGACTTACTTTGAGTTAATTTTATTTTTTATTATAGTTAATTAAGTTTTCTTCTATTTTAGATTTTATTTTAATTTTTAATAATTGATATTAATAATATTTTCAAAATATAATGATAATATTATATGCTCTAATTTTAGTTTAAAGCATTTTAGCTTCTTCAATTCAGCTTAATGAACGTAAATATTTTTAAGATGAGAATGGAGCTATCAGAATTTTTCATGGATTTAATGTAGTATATAAATAAGCCCCTTATATCCCAAAAATAGAGGGGTTTGATTATATGGAGACCTTTAGTGAGGAAGATTGTAAAATTATCAGCGATAATGGTTTTAATGTGATTAGACTTCACGTTTCATTTGAAGGAGCAATGCCTAAGAGAGGAGAATTGGATGAATAGTATTTAGATAAGATTTTGATGATTGTAAGAATGGCTGCAAAATATAATATATATGTTATTTTGGATGCTCATCAAGATTTATTTAATCGTTAATTTTGTGGAAATGGATTTCCTGATTGGGCAACTTAAAAAATAGATTTTCCATCACCTACAAATATTCAAATGAGATTTGATTCACAAAATTATCCATTATTAGAAGATTGTTATAAGTAAAAATTTGCTTTATATTATTCTTCAAATGATATTGGAAAACATTTTGAAATGCTTTATGAAAATCAGAATGGATTAGCAGATTTTTTTGGTTAATTTTGGTAAAGAATAGCAGAAAAAAGCAAAAATGAATGGAATGTTATTGGTTATGAAATTTTAAATGAACCATCCCCAGGAAATTATTAAAAAGGCAAAGTTGACTTCTTTTGGCCAGGATATGCAAATAAAAAATATTTAGTATCATTTTATAAATTGATCCATAATTATATAAGAAAGGTCGATAACGAAAAAATAATATTTTTTGAATCTGATTTTTTAGATGTATTAGGAGCTGGTTTTGATTAAAATATAGGTGGAATTGAATATTAAAATAAAGAAGTCTTTAGTTACCATGTTTATTGTGGTATAGAAAAAATTTCTTCTTGGAGTTGTAATAGAATTAATTCTTTACTTTATTACCTTAAGATGAGAAACGTTTAAAAACTTAAAATAGGAGGTTTTTTAACAGAGTTTGGAGCTGTTGGAAACGATGAATCATCAAAAGACATACTTGATTTTATTCTTGATAAAGCTGATTATTACTAATAATCTTGGACTTATTGGTAATATAAAGGATATAATGATCATACAACTATGTCAACTATGTATGAAGAAGGACTCTTTAATGAAGATGGATCATTTTAAAATCTAAAATTTAATGCTTTAAGAAGACCTTATGCTTATTAAATTTGTGCAGATTATATAGAAACTAATTAATATTATTCTGATACTAAAGAGTTTTTTTTAACGTTTAGGACCAAGTCTGGTTGTTAAACAAAAGTCTTTATTCCTTAACAATTAGATTCTTCATTTGTTTTTGATTATAAATGCAGAAATTGTTCATTAATTAAAATTGAAAATTAGCATTATGAAGTTGTCGGAGATGGCGATATTGAGTTATATTTTTAATTATGAAATTTTAATTTAATAATTTTAAATGAAATCAGATTCACTCTATTTTAAGATTGATAATATTATTGACTGAATGAAAATAATTATGAAACAAATAGATTTAGCAAATTAATTAAGTTAATTGAGTACAATTTTATAGCAGACGCCGATTATTCTATTAATAGCTATATTAAGGTTACATAGATGGAGAACTTTATCGTTGACCTGGATATTTCAAACACATGTATGTGGGTTAAATTAGTAAAATTAATTTAGTTTAATTTAATGAAGAATTTTTTGGAATATAAAATATTTGTTCCAAAGGGTCTTGTTTATGGGGACTATTTTGGTAGTATAGGCCATTTGACTAGAATGAAACTATTTTTTATAAAGTATGTAAAATAATATATTTTCAAAATTATCTTCACTAATTATTTCGATATAGCTTTAAGGTAAAAATTTCATTGATTTAACAAGTCTAGAGAAAATGATAAGGAAGATTATTATAGTAGAAAAAGGGAAAAGGCAAAATATGGTTTGAGTATTGTAAGAAGGATTTTGAAATGAGATTAGATTGTTATTAATTAATAATTTTAAATTTAAGTATGAACGACAGTGTTTAAGCAATTCAAGAAAGTTATACTAGAATTAAGTTATTGAGTAATGATGTCTAGATTAAGGACTAAACAATCAATATACTTTAAGAAAGATTATAAGAATTAGAGGAATAGTTGAGTTAAGCAATTAAACAAAAAGAATATGGTGATAAATAATTTGGAATTCTTTAGGAAGAACATGATTAGATGTTTGATAATTAATAGAAAAAAACAAAGTAACTGCAATAATTTAACTAATAATTATTGGTTGCATTGAAGGAAGTGTAAGATAAGAATTAAGAGCTTTTGGAAAAAGTAAAATTTCAAAGTTAAGAAATATAATAAAAATAAATGGCTTAATAAGAAGTAACTGAGCAGATTTCATTAATAAAGGATGCAGTAAAAGGATTGGAAGAAGAATTATAATAATTAACTAAGAAAAATTCAATTTTAAAAAAAGAAAAACAAGAAGCAGAATAATAATTGAAATAGGTTTCGAATGAAAAAAATAAATTTGAAAATAGTATAATGAATATGCTAAAATAATTAGAAACAGAAAATGATTTATTAAAATAAGAATTAGAAGATTATAGATAAAGATTGGAATAACAACATCAAGAATTAGTTGAACTAAAATATATGAAGATTTAATTTGAAGATTTGGAAAAGAAAAATTAATAATTAAATGAGTAATTTAATATCTAGGTTCAGACTGCAATGGAGTGTGAGAAGAATTATGCTTTATAATTTGATGAAATGAATAGAGCAAATGAAAAATTTAGGAAAGANTATTAAGGTTACATAGATGGAGAACTTTATCGTTGACCTGGATATTTCAAACACATGTATGTGGGTTAAATTAGTAAAATTAATTTAGTTTAATTTAATGAAGAATTTTTTGGAATATAAAATATTTGTTCCAAAGGGTCTTGTTTATGGGGACTATTTTGGTAGTATAGGCCATTTGACTAGAATGAAACTATTTTTTATAAAGTATGTAAAATAATATATTTTCAAAATTATCTTCACTAATTATTTCGATATAGCTTTAAGGTAAAAATTTCATTGATTTAACAAGTCTAGAGAAAATGATAAGGAAGATTATTATAGTAGAAAAAGGGAAAAGGCAAAATATGGTTTGAGTATTGTAAGAAGGATTTTGAAATGAGATTAGATTGTTATTAATTAATAATTTTAAATTTAAGTATGAACGACAGTGTTTAAGCAATTCAAGAAAGTTATACTAGAATTAAGTTATTGAGTAATGATGTCTAGATTAAGGACTAAACAATCAATATACTTTAAGAAAGATTATAAGAATTAGAGGAATAGTTGAGTTAAGCAATTAAACAAAAAGAATATGGTGATAAATAATTTGGAATTCTTTAGGAAGAACATGATTAGATGTTTGATAATTAATAGAAAAAAACAAAGTAACTGCAATAATTTAACTAATAATTATTGGTTGCATTGAAGGAAGTGTAAGATAAGAATTAAGAGCTTTTGGAAAAAGTAAAATTTCAAAGTTAAGAAATATAATAAAAATAAATGGCTTAATAAGAAGTAACTGAGCAGATTTCATTAATAAAGGATGCAGTAAAAGGATTGGAAGAAGAATTATAATAATTAACTAAGAAAAATTCAATTTTAAAAAAAGAAAAACAAGAAGCAGAATAATAATTGAAATAGGTTTCGAATGAAAAAAATAAATTTGAAAATAGTATAATGAATATGCTAAAATAATTAGAAACAGAAAATGATTTATTAAAATAAGAATTAGAAGATTATAGATAAAGATTGGAATAACAACATCAAGAATTAGTTGAACTAAAATATATGAAGATTTAATTTGAAGATTTGGAAAAGAAAAATTAATAATTAAATGAGTAATTTAATATCTAGGTTCAGACTGCAATGGAGTGTGAGAAGAATTATGCTTTATAATTTGATGAAATGAATAGAGCAAATGAAAAATTTAGGAAAGAACTTGAAAGTTTAAATGACCAGTATAAACAACAAAAAGAATAATGCAATCAATTAGATTAGTAAAATAAAGAATTCTCTAAATTATTTAACTATATTTAATAATAAATTGAGGAAATTATTGCAGAATGTTTAGTTGCTAAGAAAAAATCAAATGTATATGATAGGCTATATGAAGGAAGAAAGTCATCATCTGCTTCTAGTCGTAGATCAATTCCTAAAAAGAAAAAAAAGTATAGTTATAATTAAATACAAATTGAAGAATTCTTTATTGATATCAAAGAAATTATTTAAAGTTTAATATCCACCAATACTTAATTAAAAGATGAAAATGATTAAGTTTGCAAGAACATTTAGGATATGCACAAAGTTGGTGAATAGCTAAGATATAAAATAGAATAATTGAATTCAGAACACATCAAAACAAAAGATTAATTATAATTAGAACATTAAATAATAATAGAGTAATAAGAAGATAAAATTAATTAGTTACAGGATGCTCTTTAACAATAAAATTTATAGGCTTAAAAAGATAATTAATATATTAATTAACTTATTTAATCATGTCATCAATATGATCAATAGATTTTAGAAAAAGAAAAATTAAGTTAGTAGTTCCTATCGTAAAAGTAAGACTTGGCATAAGAATTTGAAGAACTCAATAATTAATATCTACAACTTCAAGCAGAATTTGAAGAATTACTTATGAGAAAGGCTATTTCTTAAAACAAAGTTGCTCTAAGCTATAGTCTCTTATCTCATTTATTAAAAGATAAGAAAAGTCAATATTTATTCTAGCAATTCAATTCATTTTCTAATTATATTCATTATTTTGTATTGCTTAGAAATGTATTTAAAGAAAGAATTCACAATGTTTATCTAAGATTTAGAAAAGTAGCTTATGCAATTATTTTTGTCAAAAAACTTAAAAAAACTGTGTACATTAAAGATGAAGTAATCAATCTTCAATTCGAAGACAATGAAGTTATTGATTAAACCTTTGAAAAGTTTATACCAATATTTCATGAAATAGAAGAGGGAAAGCAAACAGATTTTAATATAGTTAATAAAATGATAAAAGAATTGAAATTCTAGATAAATAAATACGATATGAGATATCATGGAAGATCTATTAATTCATAAAATTACTATCAAATTTTAAATTTTGCTAAAGAAGATATTTTAAGAAATAATTCTATTGGAAGTTAAATTGATTATTATAAATAATAATTAAGTTCCTTATAAACTAGAGTTTATTAGTTGGATGAATATGTACAGTAATTAGAGTAAGAATTATCAGAAAAAGTTAATTTTTCAACAACTCAATAACCATAAGTTTATTTACAATAATCTGAAGAATAATCAATAAATAAATTTAGAACAGATTCATCTCCTCCTTAAAAAAATAATCTATCAGTATCCCTTCAAAATGAACTGATGTCAATTTTGAGTAAGAAGTCATCAGCAAATTTATCGAAAGCTGGTTAGATAGTTAAATAAGGATTTTGAATTAATATTATCATTATATAAACTGAAGATTATTGAATATTTTTTCAATGACTTTCTTCTTAGAGCTTTGTATCAATTCTTTTTCTCATATAATGAACTAGTTCTAAGACTATTTTTTCCATTAGTTCGCTCTTAAAATTATCATTTAAATCATCCACATTTAATAGATCGCATGTCATGCCACTAATTATCTGATTAAAATTTTTTAAAATTTCGTTCTTCTTTTCTTATTTAATTATTTTATCAAGAGATTTAGATAAAAATTCTTAAGCTTAAGTTTAGACAGTTATTTTCTATTAATCTTCATTTTATTTCAGACTGTTCTTTTAATCAATATTATCTATGTTTTATTAATTATTCTTAAAGTTATTAATTGTTGTTGGTTGAGGCTAAGGAAATTATTGTTAAGTTTAAAAATTTTTATTTGGAAAACAATTTTAATTGATTTACTAATTTTAATTAAGATTCTTAAATAGAGGATTCTAATTTTAAATTGTTGGGTTAGTCTGAATTGTATTAATTGGCATTATATATTGATTTGGAAATTTGTTGTCATTCTTTACATTTTAAGCAAATTGATGATTATTTTACAATACTTAAGTATTTGATATTTAAAACATGTTTTATCCAAAGGGTATCTAATTAAACTTCACAGGTTAAAAAGCATTCATATCTAATTTATTTTGATTAATTTAATAACTTTATAAAATTTCTTGAAGTTCTTTCAAGACTTAATTAATATCATATCTTTCTAAAGGATTCACAGTCATCATACCTTTGCATAATTATTATATTTTTGGATTAGAGATTAAGTTGAATCTTTTATCTATGTTTTAAATGATAGAGTTTGATTGTTATTACATAGCATATTTTTTAATATCTTATTCCACTTCTTGAATTGAATTTCCAAAGAAAAATATTTATTGTGTGATCATTTCATATATAATACAACCAAATGACCATATATCTACTTTGTAATCATATTAATCTTATAATAAGACTTCTGGAGCAATATAATAAGGTGTACCAACTCTTTATGTTTTATTTTAACTAATATAATGTTTGAGAAATCCAAAATCACATAATTTCCAGGTATTACCAATTTTTAAAATATTTTCAGGCTTAAGGTCTCTGTGATAATGTTTTAGGGAGTGAAGTTCTTGAATTCCATAAGCAATTTACTAAATTACTTCAATTTTTTGTTTTTCTTAGTAACTATCTGATTGCATGACACTTTCAAGTAAGTTTTTTTCACCTAATTCCATAATAAAGCAATAGTTTTTGAATTTACTCACATAATTATTAAGAAATATTGGATTTTCGATAACATCATGGTAGCAAATTATATGTTTCAATCCATTTTCTGATTTTTATTTTTTTAATAAAAGGTATATAAATTGTAATTCGTCATTTCTTGTATCGTTTGAGAATTTGATTGCTAAACTAATTGAGGGTTAATCCTTCTTGATACCTTTATAAACTTAGCCTTCAGAACCAGCCCCAATTAGTTAATGACAAACATAGACCTCTTCTTTGGGGCTTATTAATTCAAAAAGTGAATTCTATTAAATCATGAGAAAATAAAAATTATTATTATTTCACAATTTAAATGAATTATAAAGTTTATTTATGAAGATCATAGATATTGTGCATATTATCAAATATTTTTAAATTGACGTGTTTTATTATAATTAATGTTTGGAATTTCATCTATTTATATTTTGGATTAGAAAGGAAGAGTTTTGATTTCAAGATAATATAGAAATGAATTACCTGCAAATATTCATGAAACATTTAATAAAAAATTATTAGAGTTCGATGAATATACTTAGAAACCTGTTATGATAGATAAGGATGGATATACTTACATATTTATAAGGCATAATAATTTAATATTTATGACGGTGTGTTCATAAAATGCAAATTGTTTGATGATTTTTTCATTTTTATTCAGATTAGTATAAGTGTTATAGGAATATTTTGTAAATGTAGAAGAGGAATCAATTAGAGATAATTTTGTAGTAGTTTATGAACTTTTAGATGAAATGTTAGATAATGGATATCCATAAACAACAGAATTTAAAATTTTGAAAGAATTTATCAAAACAGAGAGTTTCTAATTGAAAGATAAGAAATAACCAGAACAAACAAATTTTAATGTAGTTGCATTAGTATCAAATAAAATTTCATGGAGAAGAGAGGGAATTAAGTATAAAAAGAATGAAGTATTTTTGGATGTTATAGAGAAATTGAATATTTTAATAGGTTAATAAGGGAATGTAATAAAGAGTGAGATTATAGGTTAAGTATAAGTTAAATGTATGTTAAGTGGAATGCCTGAATTGAAATTAGGTTTGAATGATAAAGCATTTTTTGAAGCATAAGGTCGTTAAGCTAAATCAAGAGCAGTTGAATTTGATGATATTAAGTTTCATTAATGTGTGAGATTATCTAAATTTGAAAATGAAAGAGTTATACAATTCATACCTCCCGACGGTGATTTTGAATTAATCTCTTATAGATTAGACATAAGGGTTAAGCCTTTATTTTCAGTTGATGTACTTATTGAAAGAAAATCAACAACCAAAATTGAGTTTTTAGTTAAAGCTAAATCAAATTTTAAACCTAAAAGTACTGCTAACAATGTTGAAGTAATAAATTATTATTAATAAATCAAGATTTTTGTTCCAGTTCCTGATGATGCTGAATAACCTTAATTTAGAACTGCTCATGGTTCTGTAAATTATATGCCTGAGAAAGAGGCTATGTGTTGGAGTATTAAATAATTCGGAGGATAAAGAGACTTTATGATGAATGCTGTATTTCATCTTCCTACGTATATCATTTATAATCTATTATAGAATTGTATCACCAAACAGGGATAAATTTTAAAAGATGCCTATCAATATCACATTTGAAATTCCTTATTTTACTGTCTCTGGTTTCTAAGTCAGATATTTAAAGATTCAAGATAAAAGTGGATACAATGCATTGCCATGGGTCAGATACATTACATAAAATGGAGAATATTAAATTAGAATGAACTGATATTTTTTTTCGAAATATCATCAAAATTATATAGGATAAAAACTTTTGATTTAATTATCCACAATCCTGTTTTCTTATTTTTAATTTACTTACTGATTTCTGAATTTATCTTCGAAAGTGGAAATATTGATAAAGACATAAAATTCTGATTCCTCTTATTATTTTATATCTGATTGATTTTACATATTAATTAAAGTAAATAATAATAATTTTTTTATTTGATAACAATAAATGAGATAACGAAGCGGTTAAATATTGTCACCAGCTCGTGTAATATAAAACTTTTAAATGAGTACCAAAAATCACACTAGCAAAAATGTCTCTTAATCTCCCTTAAAATTTATATAGAGAAATCTTTCACAAATTATATTAAAGGATTTGGTGAAGTAAGATTCAACTCGGAAAGTTAATCATGGTAGTCTCACTGAGAGAGTGCACAGTTAGCAAAGATCAAATTCAAGGGATAAAGTTAAACCATAAGCAAAAACTTCGAAAGTTCCAACTGAAACAAATTTCCCATTTTAATAAATCTCAAAGGGAATCAACAAAATTCTAAACTAAAAATTGACAACAAAGAATAAATAAATCTTGGAAAAAGGTTCGATGACACGGAGAAACAGTATGGAAGATCTTTTAACAAGTTCTATATAAGTAGGGGGCAAATCATCATCAATTGATAAAATAGTGAAATAGGAAATTTGTGTATATGTACATTATTCCTCTGAAGTAACTTAAAATCATCGTTTTCATGCTAATGTAACGACTGATAAGATTTTAAATGTATTAAAGAGTAAATGTGGAAGCTATTAAGTGGTTGGATTTGCAACGTTGGATGAAAATATAGGATTTGATTATTATCTCACAGTTCCATCTCTATCAATGAGTCATATGATTGGAAAAACCATAAGACTTAAACCTATAATAGGTATATCTCCGCCGAAACAATTGAATTTAAGTTGTTTTTAGTTTTTACATGTAATAGGTAGAGGGGGATTCTCAACAGTGATATTATCTCGATCATTAATTGATGGCAGTTTCGTTGCCTTAAAATTGATAAGCAAAAGTTTTGTAATCTAAAATGAGAAGTAAGATTTAGTATAGAATGAAAGAGATATTCTAATAGAAACAACAAATAAAGGTTCGTTATTTACATCAAGGATAGAATTTGTATTTGAAACTAAGAATTGGATAATATTTGGTATTGATTATTGTCCTGGTGGAGAGATGTTTAGTTATATGAAAAGAGTATAAAAGATGACAGAATCCTAAGCTAGATTTTATATAACTGAAGTATGTTTAGCCTTAGGATTTTTACATCATTAATAAATAATATATCGTGATTTGAAACCAGAAAATGTTTTAATTGATATAACTGGACATATTCAATTGGCTGATTTTGGTTTGGCAAGACCTAATATGCAACCAGAATAAAATGCATATTCATTTTGTGGTTCTCCTGAATATATGGCACCAGAAATGTTTCATAATGATGGACATAATTATTTAGTTGATTATTATTGTTTAGGAGCTTTATTATATGAATTTGTAACAGGACTCCCTCCTTTTTATTGTGAAGATAAAAATGTAATTTATACTAGATTATTGAATGAATAAGTAACATTCCCAAAAAAGTTAAGTCCAGAAGTCAAAGATCTTATTCGTTTATTAATGATTAAGGATCCAAATAAGAGATTAGGTTCAAAAAATGGAGTAGATGATATTTTAGCACATCCTTGGTTTTAGGATATTGATATTGCTAAATACATTTAAAAAAAAATAGATCCTCCTTATATTCCTGATTTAACAAAATTAAGTTTTAAATAGCCTACCACTAATGATAGAATACTATTTGAATAACTTAATAGGGAATAGAAGTTAATTATTCAATTCACACCTATGTTTTAAAATGCTTTTTTTTATTAATAGAATAGATAAAAATATTATGAATTTGATAAGAATTCATCCACTTAAGTAACAAAAGATACTATCGACTCTTTAGTAAGAAAGAGAACCAAAAATTCTTAGAATAGTTAGCAATCACTTTTATCCCAATAATCATAATCATAACTATCATCAGTAATATGTTCTAATGATACACTCAAAAATACAAAAAGTGTTACTAACCTAAAATTTTATTAAAGTTTATTAACTGAACCATCTAAAAAATGAGTCTATATTTATTTTTAATATTTTCTCATCACAATTTCTTCTTTTTCTAAACTGGCTATTCATCTTCGGATTCCTCTGCTTCTTCAGCTTCATCTTCATCATCATCATCATCATCTTCATCATCTTCATCTTCATCTTCATCATCATCTTCTTCATCATCTTCATCATCATCATCTTCATTTTCTTCATCTTCTATTTCATTCCCAGTTTTGTCTTTATGATCAATGTAATTCAATTATGGAATCAATTCAAAAAGTTTTGCTCTATCTATCTCTTTATCATTAATCACTAAATGTTATAATTCTTTTAATTCAACCAAAACTTTAAGATCCTTTTTTTAATCAAATTAATTTTGTACATCTTAACTTATTTTTTTATTTCCACTTATATCTAAGTATTAAACTTTTGGAAAATACTATATTATATGTTGGAGACTATTCTTATCCAAATTATTATTGCATAATCGTAATTTTGTTAAATTTGCAAATCCTAACAAATTATCCAAAGACTACAATTTGCAATCATTAAATTCCAAACATACTTTCTTTATTCAATATTTTTACATAAATCATTATATTTTTACAATAATTTTAATGTTTCATTTGTAAATTATCCTATATTGATATTTTCAAAACATAATTTTTAAATCTTCTCTTATCCTTCTTTTTATGCTTATATTTCTGCTTTCATACTTATCAAAGCATCCATCTTCTTATTTCCACTCATTTAATTATCAAATAAAATTAAAATTTATAATAAACCTCTAATGTCTAGAGCCCTTAGTTTGTAAGAAGACTCTATCAAAAATGATTCCATTTTAAATATTACAGAAAGGTTTTCCAAAAAATAGTAAATTGAAATGAAGAGATAATTGACTGTCATGATTAATCGAATTAAATTACTTGCCATGTAAAAATAAAGATTGTAAATTTTAATCTAATTTAGACAATCAAAACAATAATAAAATTAAATGAGAATTGAATATCTTAATAATATTCGAACTTAATATCTTTAACACTCTTCTAAAGTAACATATTTTATTAAATATTAGTTATAAAAATACAGAGAGACAAAAAATTAATCAGTTCGACTCTCAAAAGAAAAAAAAAATTAAAAAAAATAAGATTAGCTTCAGCTTTTAAAGCAAATTCGCTAAACTATCGAATAGTAGAAAAAACAATAATTTTAATAAATGAAATTACAATCATTAAAATATGATGAATATATTACTCTTTAAAGATAAAGATCAAAATCTTTCAATATTGATAAAAAACTTAAAGTTTAATAGTAGGAACAATAATAATAATAAAATTTATAACAGTTTAAAGAACTAAAACAAAAATAATTTCAATCATAGCATAAATAAGTAATTTTAAAAAACTTTTAATAAAAAGCAAATGATTTTATTAAATTAAAAGAATTATGGGAATAAGAGAAGGATATCTTAGATTCTTTGATAAGCTCAAATAATTCAAAATTTAACTTTTCTTTAACAAAAATTTGAGTATTATTCTTACAATATAAATGGATATCTTGAATCATATTCTTCTAGACAAAAAATAAGATAAAAAAAAATCAGTTCATATAATTTGAAAAAAAAATAAAAATAATTAAATCTATTAACAATAAGTTAAATTCCATTTATTTATTATGTTTGAATTTCAATCTAAAGAGAATAAATATTCATATTTTTCAGTTATGATATAAAAATTTTTTCCAACAACATCCATAATTATAGAATCAAGAAATATTCTTTTGGACTATTCTTCTAAAATTCTCCACAAATTCCAAGCATTGCTTCTGTTATTTTTTATAGCCTAATATTTGTTTTATAATTTTACATCATCTAACTTCCGAATAAAATTCTGATAGTATTGATTAAAGCTATTTGATTGTTTCAATCTGTTAGTTATAAGATTTCTTTAACTATCCCAATTATTATACAATACATTAATGCTATCCTAATTAGAAAAAAAGAAATTATCCTGTCTCTATTTTGTAAATAAATTATTATGCATGCAAAACATTCCAAATTGATAAAAGTTTAATCCGATATTATTTTAACTCTCTTTCTCAAATAATTTTTTATAATACAAAATGTTTATTTTATCTTCAATCAAATGAAATAAAATCTAAAATTCTTCATAACTTATTATCTAATTATCATAAATATCGATTGCCTAAAAGAGTTCACTAAAGTTATCTTATTATATTTTTCTTAAGTATTAAAATTATTCAATACAATATAAATAATATTGATCTAAATCTAAATATATGTCTCCATTAATTATTTTCTAGTATTATGCCAGCTATTCTAGTATTTCTAATCCTTTATCATTTAAGATCATTAATTATTTTTTAATTTTTAATTGTGAAACGCAAATGCAATCACTGATTTAATTACAATATAACAGATTTAATGGATTAGAATGCTCATCTAAAGTTGATAATGATTAAATATAGAAATCTAGATCTTCATTAGAAATTCCTTCATATAATTGCAAAAATCTAGCGAATAATTTAATTCTATGATTTGATTAATAAGATATTAAACTTTGACAAAATTATGTCATCTTTTATTCAGCAACATTCTTTAATCCATATTGATTTATAAAATATTCATAACAAATTGCATATATTGGATACTTTTACTCCAACCTTTCTTTGTAGAAAAAGGAAACTTATTTTAATGTGTTTTATAAAGTAATAGTATTTTCCATTTATTCTGGATTTTATTTAAAATCTTATTATAATTAACTTATGAATGCTAAAGCAACATCAATATAAATATTTTCCCTTTTAAGTTTTGCTAATTTTTGTTCTAATGATAGATGAAAATATATAATACATTGTTTTTCTTATTAACTCATGATATAATTTTATTATAATGTTTGTCTTCTCTATTAAACAATGCTCGATCTTTGATTTTGAAAATATTTTGTATCAGTCATAAAATCGTTAATTACTTTATTTAAAGGATCATCATTATTTTAATTTTTAACTTATTCTTATGAATTGCTAATATGTAATGAATTTTATGATTATCTTCTTGGAATAATTTAGGATGAGTTTTTAAAGGACTTAACTTATGTTTTTAATTCTTTAATTTCAGTTGAATTAACCTTGCTTAATCCTGAGTTAGTTTGTTTCAGTGATTGAGAAGATTATAATTAAGTTTATTTAGAACCCTCTATTTATTATTTATTTTTCAAACTTTATGATAATTTATTGATATCTGAAGTTGCATTTTCATGTATTTTATTTTATGTTTCAATTTTTTAATTTGTTTTAATAGATGATGTTGTTTGTTAAGGAGCTAAAGTCATTTGTTAATCAGTATTTTACTAATCAATACTAACAACTGTAATTTCTCTTTATTGATTTACATGTTTCTTTTCTAATGCTTATTATAAATTATCAATTTCTTTTTATAATTAAATTATTAAAGTATTTTAATTAGTAAGTTTAATTTTTTAAGCTTCAGTTTCTCTTTAAATTTATTGTTTTTATTTCCTTAATTCATCTTAAACTTAAATTTCTAATTTAATTCTTTCTTCTAATGCAAAATTGATTTCTTTTATCTTTCTTAAATCAGAATTTTAGGAATTTGAATTATTTCTAAAAATATTACAAGTATTACCTATTAATCGATGATTAAGGAGATTAAATAAGTTACTCTTCTAAATCTAAATTATTACATTGAATTCCAACTTATTTGAAATATCTATAATCAGTTTAAGCATATTATTGAATTTTATCTGGAGCATTAATTTAAGTTTATTTATTCATATATATTTCCATAGTAGTATATAAATCAAAACAACTAGTTGATTTATGATCTTCAAATTCTCCGTATATGTTATGACCTCTTTTTGACTTCTAAAGGCTATGATTAATTCTATCATTTAGTTATTTTAATATTTTTTAATTTTCATTCTAAAGATTATTATTTTTAATAATTAAATCATCATTTTAATTCATTATGATACAGTAATTATCTTTAAGCTCGTGGTTTTGTTGTTTTAAAGTTTCAAATTATTAGATAATATGCTAATGTTTAGAATTTATGTTATCGTAATCAATCACTTTTTCTTCATATTTAAATTATAATTATTAAATTTATTTATCTAGGAATTTAATCTTATCATCATAAACTTAGACTGATAATTAATAAGTTTAATGAACCTAATTTATAATATATTTACTTATTTTAGTTCATTTAAGTATTCTTTTTCTTAATTTATTTTCTCCTATTAGTTTGCTTATATAACAATATTATTAAACTTGACATATTGATTCCAAATCTTTTCCAATAATACTCTAATTAAAGATATTATAAGTTTACCCTTTTTCTACACAATCAATAGATATTTCTCTTACTAATTCTTTGAGACTTTAATTAAATACTTATTCCAATAATATTAACATTTTCTCCTCTTTAAGTTTAGAATCAGCTGTGATTACTTTCATTTAATAATCAATCCATTAAGCTAATTTTATAACATCTTATCTTTAAATTAAAACATTAGCTGGTTTAGTTTGTGGAATATGTTAGGATAGTTTATCAGAAAAGTTGCTAGTTTCTTATAATAATTATGATAGTTTTTCCTTATCTCTGAGATCAAATAAATTAACATGAATCGATGATACTTCTAATATTTACATAAATTTAGTTATATACTTCGAGGATATTCTGGAACTATATCTTCTTAAGAATCATTATTAAATTTGAATGGATTCTCACTTAACATTTAAGAGTACACTTCATTTTTTCGTTGTTTACTTTATCTCTCAACTTCAAACATTTGAGATTTACTTAACATAGGAGATGCATAATATTGCTTTAAAAAAATACTCTAAATCATACATCTTGTTTCGCATCTTGTTTATCATTTCGAATGAATGAAACATTACTTATGTTATTAAAAGATTTTAACGAATTATCTTGAAATTATTTAGATTATTTTTAAGAAGAGTTAAAAAGATGTTCCATTGAATGGAAACTTTTGGCTTTAGGTGTTTTTGAAATGTTAGGCAATTATTTCTAACTTTACAAATATTTAGTACATTAATTTTCATGCGGCAGAAATAGAGAAATAGAAAGTCTCTTAATTATAAATTTAATTATTAGAAATCATTCATTTGATTACATAAAGTATAAAAAATAAAATCTAAGTCTAGTCTAATTGAATGAAATATAAAAATCTATTTTTTAATTAATGGAGTCTTAGTTAAGCTTCATTTGCATCCGATAACATACTTTTTTAGATTAGAAATATGTTCTATAATTGCTTCCAACTAAGATTACTCTAAATTAAGTATGACATGAATATAATAAAGATTGGCAAAGAACCTAAATACATAATTGAATTAGAATTAAATAATACAATTTCATGGCAATTAAATCAAATGAATTAACTCATAAGTTTTAGTATAATGTGGAACAATATTGAGAAACAATTTCACTCAGCTCACGAGGATCTGTTAAAGTTACGATAAACTATAAAAAATAAAATTATGTTTTAAACTGTTCGGAATCTTTACAAACCTATGCAATAATTAGGAGAAGGAAATTTTGACGAAGTAATTCATTTTTAGAAAATTTAGGTATATTTATGCATTGACAGAATTAATGGTAATTCATATGAAATAAAATGTCTAGCAAAAAATTAGTTTGAAGATTCCATTGTATTTATAGCATATTTTACTTAAGACACGTATTCATAATGAGATATCTTGTTTAACAAATATTAAATCTGATTATGTTTAATAGTTACATGAAGTATTTAATGGAGAAAATACTGTTTATTTAATTTAAGAGTATTTAGAAGGTGTAAATTTATATGAATTAATTATGAATGTTGCATTAGATAGGACTTAAATATTAATTATCATGAAAGTAATTTTAAATATCAGTATCATAAAGCAATTGATTACTGCTGTGAGAGATATTCATTCCAGAAATATTATGCATAGAGATATTAAGCCAACTAATATAGTATTCAAAAATAGAGATTCCATAGAAGGACTAAAATTAATAGAATTTCATTTAGCTGTTTATATTGATCCATCATAAGATTTAAGAGTTTGTGGAACTCCTGGTTATGCAGCTCCAGAAAAATTCAAAGATAGTTACAATGAAAAAGTTGATCTTTTTAGTGTTGGATGTATATTCTTTAAATTGTATGCATATATATATATTATTATATATAGAGTTACAAGCAGAGATTTATTTCCTGGAAAGACATCAAATGAAATTTTGAGAATGAATAAAATTTGCAACATAGATTTAAAAATTCTCTAATTATATAAACTTTCTGCTGAGGAAACAGATCTTTTGATTAATCTACTTGAAATAGATCCAGAAAAAAGAATAAGTGCAGAAGCAGCATTATCTCATCCATATTTTTTATGTGACAATATATAGCAAGATTAATAATAATTAGCTAAAAAAAAATCTATATAAGGACCTACTACTAGTGAAAGAAGCAATAATTTATTATAAAAGGAAATTAATGAAATTGAAAAAAATCCAGATGAATTGTAAGTCGATCATGAATCTCCTCACATTAGTGCTATTCCCAATTTCAAAGTATTAAAAAAAGATTCTCAAATTCAATAATCTCAAATAGTAAGAAAGAATTCAAAATTAAAAAAAAGTGAAACTCAAGAATATACTTAATTAAACTTTAATAAGTCCAAATACTAACCTAGAAATTCTGTTCATTAAACAATTGTTTGATTATATATTTTAATAACATATTTTATATCTAGTAAAATTATATAAAATTTAATTTCAATGATTATTAATAAATTTAT